TGGCGCCGCGACTTCCCCGGCGTGTCAGGAGGCGGCCGGGTGTGTGGGCCTGGGGTGTGCGGGCCTGTGCAGGAAGGAGTAGGAGAACAGCCAAGTGCCGTCCTTCCTCCTCTCTCCTGCCCCAGGCTCCTCTCGGCGTTTCGTCTGGCGTGTGCAGCCTGCGTCCTCCTGCAAGCGCTGCTGCCGGCCCTCCCCGCCTCGGCGTTCTGGCTGGGTCCCCTGAGGGCTAGGAAACGTTCAGTGGTCGTTGAAGGCCACAGTGTTGGTGGGTGACTGCCCACAGAAGTAGGTTCAAAGGGAGGACAGTGCTGCTCTGTTTGTTCAGGGTAGTTCCTTTTTCTTTCCACCCCCCCCCCTCTTGTTTGAGTCATACTTGCTTTCAGTCACACAAATGAGCTATGTTTGTAGGGTTGGGGCAGAAAGGGCCAGTTTGCTCTTGCTTGCTTCTGCAAAGAGAGCCAGAAAGGTCCAGAAAAAGGCTGTATGAAGAGGCTGGATGCAGTTTAAGTTGTAAGGAGTTCCTCCTCTGGCTGAATCTCAAGCCTCTGCAAACACGCTCTTTGTTTTGGCATCAGTGCCAGGTGCAGATTAAACCTTAAAGGAAGGAGAAAGGAGAAGTGGTGAAGGTCACTGCCAACAATAATACAGTGTGTCCTAATGAAGAGCTTCTGTTAGTTTTATTTTGCAGTTTTCTTCCTGGATAATGATGGTTTGAATTTTCTAATTAGTCTGGGTAACGTGGTTTTTAATTTACACAGCTTGGGCTTCTTTTCTGAAGTTGTAGTTAATGCATTTCTAATGCCTGAACTAAACCAGTCCTAGTATGTGAGAGGGTGTTGGGAAGCATGTGCTGAATTTTAAATGTTACAATCAGTCCTGATTTGGAAGGAAGGCAGCTTCTGTTATGTGTAGGGCTACTTGGGCTTTGCAGAAAAGCAGTCTTTATTCAAATAATTTTATTTAACTGCTTGAAAATTTACAAGACTGGAAGTTTTTTTAGTAATATCTTTCATTTTAGCAAACTCTTGCTTGGTTACACTTTAGAGTATAGGTATAACTTTTTTATTGTTTCAGGGAGGTCACATTTTAGATTCAGTATAAAACTGATTTCTCAGAAAGTACTGAGTGCTGGTTTAGGGAATGTGACAGCTGAAAACAGGTTTTCCTTTTCTTTTCCTTTAAAATTTTGGACAAATACTCTGCTCTTTATTAAGAAGTCTCAAATCTGACTTGCATTTCTAGGTACATTTTAATTATCAGTTAAGATGGATATCCGAGGTGCTGTAGATGCTGCTGTCCCAACAAACATCATTGCTGCAAAAGCTGCTGAAGTTCGGGCAAACAAAGTAAACTGGCAGTCGTATCTCCAGTAAGTAAAAGCTTTCCACAATTTATTTTGTTTCTTTCCCCTCCTACCCCGTAAGTATCGGACTTTTTTAGATTTTGGGTTTCATTGAAGCATTAGGTTACAATGAGGAACATTCCATCTTGGGCCCATGTTGGAAAATGTCTACATTAAGTGGAAGTGGTTGGGGAATATTTTCTTATGACTTACTACCAGAAAGGGAAGTCTACTTTTGTGAACTGAATGCTGTAATAACAAATAATTTAAATTTACACAAAAGTGTGATGAAACTTACAATTTTTTTTCTCATCCTTCAAACACCAGTCTCAGTTCTAGCCATATTAGGTGAGTATTGAAGTAAGAAAAGGTTACAGTAAGAGTTATCCCATATATAGGTAAGTTCTCTCTATTGCTGAAGTGCCTTTTGAGTGAATACAAATTGTACTAGCAAAACTGGACTGATAGTTGAGGAACAGAAGCTGTACCTCAACAGAAGGAAGAATAACTCTGTAGAGCAGTTGAAACCTGTGAATCAGGGACTAGGCTGAAACAAACGCTTCAGTGTGGGAAGAGCTGTGCTACTGTTTCAGATAAGCTCAGCTTACTTTGGAAAGTACATAATGGCACTGGGAGTAGTGGGACAAATATTGTCCAGAGAGCATACAGGGACAAGCTGAGGAAAATAGGTTTGTACATGAGGTAGGGAAAAGGGAGAAGGAACAGACTTCACTAGTCTTCTCTGCTCTGAAGTGAAATGCAGGATTCTTGTATCCTTACGTTCCTCATGACAGGTATCTTAGAAGAATATTGGCAAAGTGTAAGTAGTATTATCTCTTGAGGGTTCATATATAATAGCAAATTTGAGATGGTGGAGTTCAGGATCCTAGTCTTCTCTGCTCTGAAGTGAAATGCAGGATTCTTGTATCCTTACGTTCCTCATGACAGGTATCTTAGAAGAATATTGGCAAAGTGTAAGTTAGTATTATCTCTTGAGGGTTCATATATAATAGCAAATTTGAGATGGTGGAGTTCAGGATCCTGTGTGGAAGGAAAAAAATACCCAGCAGGACCAGAACCCTGGACTTCCACAGGGCAAACTTTGGTCTCCTCAATCATCTATTAAGGGAAATCCCATGGGACAGGGTGCTAGAAGATAAAGGAGCTCAAGATAGCTGGTCAACATTCAAGGACCACTTCTTGCAAGCACAGGATCAGAGCGTCCCAATGGTTAGGAAATCTAGTAAGGGTGCTAGGAGACCTGCATGGTTAAAGAAGGAACTACTGGGCAAACTTAAGTGGAAAAGGAAAATCTACAGATCATGGAAGGAGGGGCTGGTCACGTGGGAGGAATATAGGACTGTTGTCAGAGGATGTAGGGAGGCAATTAGGAAAGCTAAGGCCTCCTTGGAACTTAACCTTGCAAGTCAGGTTAAGGATAATAGAAAGGGCTTTTTCAAATACATAGCTAGCAAAACTAGCAATAGAGGCAATATTGGCCCATTGAGGAATGAGGTGGGAGCCCTGGTGACAGAGGATATAAAGAAGGCAGAGGTGCTGAATGCCTTCTTTGCCTCTGTCTTCACTCCTGCAGGGTCTCCCTATGAGCCCCAGATTCATATAGCCCCAGAAGAAGTCAAGATAGAGGAAGAGTTTGACATGGTAGATGAGGATTGGGTTAGGGATCAGTTGAGTAATCTGGACATCCATAAATCAATGGGTCCAGATGGAATGCACCCAAGGGTGCTGAGGGAGCTGGCGGAGGTCATTGCTAGGCCACTCTCCATCATCTTCAGTAAATCATGGGCAACAGGTGAGGTGCCTGAGGACTGGAGGATAGCAAATGTCACTCCAGTCTACAAGAAGGGCAAGAAGGAGGACCCGGGTAACTATAGACCGGTCAGCCTCACCTCCATCCCTGGAAAGGTGATGGAACAACTTGTTCTTGTCACTATCTCCAGGCACATCAAGGACATGGGGGTCATCAAGAGCAGTCAACATGGTTTTATCAAGGGTAAATCATGTTTGACTAACCTCATAGCCTTCTATGAGGAAATTACTAGGTGGATAGATGATGGTAGAGCGGTAGATGTGGTTTATCTTGATTTCAGTAAAGCATTTGACACCGTCTCCCACAGCATCCTTGTAGAAAAGTTGATCAGGTATGGGTTTGGTGATCAGGAAGTGAGGTGGATTAGGAACTGGTTGAAAGGAAGGAGTCAGAGAGTTGTAGTCAATGGGGCAGAATCTGGTTGGAGGTGTGTGACTAGTGGAGTCCCACAGGGGTCGGTACTGGGACCGGTGTTGTTCAACATCTTCATCAACGACCTGGATGAGGGTATAGAATGTACCCTCAGCAAGTTTGCTGATGACACTAAGCTGGGAGGAGTGGCTGACACACCAGAAGGCTGTGCTGCCATTCAGAGAGACTTAGATAGGTTGGAGAGTTGGGCGGGGAGAAACATGATGAAATTCAACAAGGGGAAGTGCAGAGTTTTACATTTGGGGAAGAACAACACCATGTCCCAGTACAGGTTGGGGGCTGAACTGCTGGAGAGTAGTGTAGGTGAAAGAGACCTGGGGGTCCTGGTAGACAGGAGGATGACCATGAGCCAGCAATGTGCCCTTGTGGCCAAGAAGGCCAATGGCATCCTGGGGTGCATTAGAAAGGGTGTGGTTAGTAGGTCAAGAGAGGTTCTCCTCCCCCTCTATTCTGCATTGGTGAGGCCACATCTGGAGTATTGTGTCCAGTTCTGGGCCCCTCAGTTCAAAAAGGACAGGGAACTGCTCGAAAGAGTCCAGCGCAGAGCTACGAAGATGATTAGGGGAGTGGAACATCTCCCTTATGAGGAAAGGCTGAGGGAGCTGGGTCTCTTTAGCTTGGAGAAAAGGAGACTGAGGGGTGACCTCATCAATGTTTACAAATATGTAAGGGGTGAGTGTCAGGGGGACGGAGTTAGGCTTTTCTCAGTGATGGCCAGTGATAGGACAAGGGGTAATGGGTGTAAATTGGAGCACAGGAGGTTCAAGGTGAATATCCAAAAATATTTTTTTACTGTAAGAGTGACAGAGCACTGGAACAGACTGCCCAGGGAGGTTGTGGAGTCTCCCTCACTGGAGACATTCAAAACCCACCTGGATGAGTTCCTGTGTGATGTACTCTAGGTGACCCTGCTCTGGCAGGGGGGTTGGACTAGATGATCTCTCGAGGTCCCTTCCAGCCCCTAAGATTCTATGATTCTATGATTCAGTGTTCATCGCTTTGTAACTAAAGTGGGAGAAATCTTCATGATTCTAAAGGTACAAGCCATGCTTATAATGCTTTGTGACTATCACACCACTTTGCAAAAGATAGAGGTTCTTTTTCAGATAGCTATGGTACATAGATGCATGCTATATAAGGTTAAAGCAAGGTTGCAGAACTGTACACATGCAAGCTGAGAAATGCTAACAGGGTAGAATCTCATTAATGACTACCTGTTTTGCTCCCTACTATGTAGCTCAGTCTTGCCTACGCCGTTCATTCAGTTGTGCTGGTTTTTTGCCTTATATATCCGCATGGCAAACTGGATTAAGGAACTGGTCTGCTGAGGAAACTTCCTTTTCTAGGATATTTTTTCACCTGTATCAGTTCCTTGTTGAGTTTGCAGTGTGACAGTAGAATGGCTTTGCAGGCGAAAGAGTGAGGTTGGTGTTACAATTTGGCTGTAGCAGCCATGAAGTATTTGTCAAACCACCTAAATGGCTGTTGTTCCTGTGTTCCCTGTTACCCACCTAATCCACATTGGAAGTGTGTCTGGGGAAGCCTGGGCAGCTGTTCCTGTGCTGTCCTAGTAGCAAGTGAACAGCTAGTTCACAACTGTTCAGGGTGAAAGTGGGAGTACATTTGTTCACTGTCAATCTAAGTGGATATGGTCTTTTTCACTGTCTAGCAGTTCAGACTGTAAGACTGTTGCAATTCAGCTGTCACTTTTGTTAGAATAGAGGATGGTTCTGTTTGGCAAGGAGTTGTATTTTGAATACATATGTAGCATTAATTGCTTGCCTGTGCTTTATGTGGTCTGCCACTCAGAATTTTCCTTTATTCTTGGGGTGTTCTCTCTCTGGTGTTGAATAAGGATGGAGGATTTTATTTATCTGTCAACAAATTCCTGTGTAACTTCTTTTGACCAGAGCTGATAGTTCTTTTTCAGATTCTAGATGTAGAATTTGACTTTGTTTTTTTCTGGAATCCATGAAAGAAGAGTGTACTAGTTACTTCCTTTCTTTGAAGGGTTTAGCCAGAGTTTAGAGGCTAGTGTAGTGCATCTGGCAATTGCTTGTGATCCTGTTGTGAGACTGTTCAATATTTGGTGCCCTCTGTGTATTAATGACAGTGTGTTCTGTTTATTATTGCTCTGAAATAAATGTAGGCTTTGTGTCTTTTATTTACTGATAACAACCTGGTTGTCTGGCTAAGTTAGCTTCAAGGATGAACTCAAGTGGTGCCAGAGGTATTGTGGAGCATCATGAAGATAACTTTAGTTCATTGACTGAGGATTTATGGAAAATATCAGCAGAAGTTCTGGTGAAGAGGAAATAAAATTACACTTGGTTTCAGACATGTTCCTTTTACAAAAGGCAGGATTAGATGCGATGGTGTCTTTGAGGCTGGTGCTTTAAGGGTAAGTCAGTTAAGGGTTATTCAGTTAGTGTTAACTCATTTCTGGAATGAAGCACATTATTAATGAGTGGAAACTGCTTCTGAGGCACCTGTTAGAGGCAGGTCAGAGTGGTTTGTTCTGGTCTGTAAAATAGAAGGAAGATGGGATGTTAATGGTTTTGAAGGACACTTCTCTTGGTTTTGAGCTCCTGTTCTGACAGTCTGTGCATCAGTGTGGTAAGCCTGCATGGAAATACATGGAGGTGTACTTCAGCTCTTCAGGTGTTTTTACTTTAGTGGAAATATTTTAATGTTTGTTTTTCCCTAAGTTAACACATCAACTTGGGCATGACATAGTTTGTGTTCCTTAAATTATAGATAGTAT